AATTCACAGAGATTTATCATCATTCTAATGCTAGTTTTTCACTTCTTGACTTTTAATATTAAAATCCATCCCGCGAGTGAGAGAGACTCCCAGAGAGCCATTCGGGATTTATACGCGCTTCGAGTCAAAGTCAATTCTTAATAAAAGCAGACTCCAAAAGATAAATTACACGTACAATAACGCACCCAAAGAGGCGACCATTCTTCTCAAAACTATACAGCGAAGTGAAAATCCGCGGACCACACACAAGATGTGCGCAACAATATCAACTCGCACACTTTGTCAATTGATACACAAATTAATTGTCTATTAATATTTCTTTCCATTCTCTGTGCCATTTCGCGGGGTCTCGCCAGACCTCCACCTTCACCTGGAAAAGGTAACGGATTGTCGTGTAATGCTCTCATATCCCATACGATATTTCATCTCATTTCGCGTGGATTCCTGTGTCGGTTCGTTCGGGAAATGCGCACGGATCGAAATCAATTCTCATGGCGATGAGCGCACAGATTCATCGGCGAGTGTCGCTTTGGGGAACTCAGGTTATAAATTCCTATTTACTGGTAGATTCCCAAGAGATCTTCCCCATCGCGTTGAGTAGCCAAAGATGCGCACTCCTCCGCATGGATCATTAATTTCATTCCAACTTCTCAGCTGCACTTCTCGGTGGGTAGATTTTTGCAGTGCATAATTATACTGACATGTAAATTTTGCACACCTTTTGATGCCGTTCAAAAAGGCGCATAAAAGACCCTCAATTCCTTCACCAGAAGTGAAATCGCGGCTCTTTTGCCTTTCGAAAAATATATCCAACCATTTGCGCTACTCGCAATTTCTCGGGAAGCATTAAATGTGGAGCAATTTGGCTCCTTCACGAAATTACATCTCGCCAGCTCAGGTGGTGAAAAAAGAGGTCTCAAATTCATTTACCGATATGCACAGTTGTGCAGAGCCACGATAAGTGGTGGAATGCACTATAATTCTATTATAATATTGCGAAATAGTGCAAAATGCGCACTTCAATTCCTGCACCGGCCATACAAATTGCAAAAATGATCAATAAATCAATGGATCGTTCTGTGGAGAACGTGTGGCTGTTGTGGATGATGGAAATAACAAGGCGTGAATGTATCGAAAATTGTTTTGCGAAAACGTAATTCCTTTTTGAAGATGATTATGAGAAATTACTATGATTCGCGCCCCGACATGCACTTCGGTGTGAATTAAAAATTCCGCGCGATAATCTCTTATGTGATGCACATCGCGTATAACCTCTTGAATTGCGCGAAATTGATTTGCATGGACTGAAAATTGGACGCGAAGAGGGAGAAATTCACTGAGATGATTAGGAAACTCTTTTTGTATTTAATTCGGCTGAGAGTCTTAATCTCTGGCCAAAGAGGCTGTAAAATATAATTTTGAAGACAATTCTGGTAGGTGAGTGTGAAATAAAGGAGGATTTAACGCCTCGGTATTTGCATGTGTTCAAATAGTTATTAAAAGAAGTCGTTTTCGCGGAATTACTTCGTCATACTCAGATAATCTCACAAGGTAATCTTTAATTTATATCGTGCGAATAAAGAAATACAGAAGAGGGAATTATTCACACCAATTTTAATAAAATATTTTATATACACTTTTGTCATAATAATAGATTTCAAGATAAATAAATTTCCTTTTATGCCTCATGCCACACATGACAATGAATCTCGCGCGCAATCGTGTGTGGGTGCAGCTGAAAAAGCGTGGAAGGGTAGTCAAATTTGTTTATGGTATCATGCGGAAAAGATCGCAAATCTCCAGGCAATGATAAAGGATGGAAAATGCGCAGTTTAACTTCCTTTTTAATCACAGAGATTTATTACTAATTATTGCCATGTTCTTCCTCATGTGATCTTCATACAATATATTGATTTTTATGGAAGCTATAACTTGAGGTGTTATAACCCATGCTGAATGTGGAAGAAGGGATTGAATTGCAATGCAAAATACACAATTTATTTCATTTCAGCCACATAGTGTGGCATTTATGTATGTGAGGCGACAATATATCATTATCGCGGCAGCGAATATATGAGAGGGAATATTTGACTCTGCACAGTTCTAGCGAGACTTGAATTTACTTTATCAAGTTTGTATTGTCCAATAGAAGTCAATTTTGCGAGAGAAACTTGCGATCTGCGGGAAGATTAATTATATGTCTTCAATGAATATTACCACGCCGTGCTAAAAATAATTAAATGCTTGGATCACAAGATCTGCAATTGATCTGAATTATCTCAGTGCAATTTTCAATGTGAAACTCAAAATTTGTTCAGCAATTGTATACGGAGCATTAGACAAAGTGTGGCAGGTTGAGGCTCTCAATTTGCTGCAATTTGCAATAAATCTGACACAAGATGTTGATTTGTGATTTGTTGAAATTGGTTGACCTGTGGCGTCTTGCTGGGCAATTAAAATATTGTATTTCTCCCCCGAGAGACTTTTCGTGAATGATTCAGTCACATATTTAATGGTAATGTGACAGGGAGAATTATATGCTTGTGGGTGGTTTATTGGCATCCACACCACGCCAATATTTATGCTCTTGGACGCGTGAAGCAGAGATAAAACTGGCCGGCTCAAAAATTGCTTCATCATAAAAATTTTGCAACATTGTGTATCTTCATTGGAGGATCGATAAGGAAGTGCTCTTCGCCGTGTTGCCTTCTCTCAATGCTCAGAAATACCTTCCACACACAGTAATTCTTCCATTGCCTGTGTGAGTGATAAAAGGCATCAAACGATCTTGTAATTCAACACCAGCGGTAATCGAGGAATCCATCAGTAAATTATCCGTCCTTTTTTCCCAGTTCCACTACGCATTATGCATTCTCTGGCGATGCTCTCGCGATGGGATAATAAGCAAGACACATGTATTGTGATTGCAATGATCTTGCCGAACACCGCGCAACACTGTCGGGGCGATCAATCATTTGGTGAAAATTTAGCGCGTTTCTGCCAGCATCATAAAGTCGCCTCTTGCATATGCACTCGGTGTTATTTTACAATATTGCCCATAGAGATTTCACATATCGATGCTAACCGTTTTCAACACACACGCGGCGGTACATGTGAATGGCGGGTTTTTGGGGAGGATCATTTGAGAAGATGCTTCGGGTCCAGCGAGGAATGATACATGCAAGTCTGTGAGTAATGAGTTCCGCGAGATTGCTCTGCGTGAGAGATAAACTGACTTTAATTCGGCTGATTTGATGTGATCATTTGCACTTTGATGCTCACATGAGCGTGCCATTCATTTGTGGGCCTCTTTCCGTCTCACAGCGTGTGGTTCCATCTTCAATTTCACCACTAATGAATTATGAATAAATATTTTCTCACCGACTTTTCCCACCAGGAGAGATTCCTCCGCACTTCATCTCGTCGCGATGTTCTTCAATATAATTTTGCACATCAGAATTTTTCCTGGATTGTTGATATTTATAGAGCAACTTTCTCGGAAATCACCACGAAATGGCAAATATTTGCATGGCAAATATAGCTGTAAAAATTGCACAGAGAAACATGAGACAACATCGTGTTTTGCAGTTTATGAAACTTGTCAATACAAAATATTTCTCCCATTTCCACTCACAAATGAGCATTGAGTAGAAATTTATTCATTGATATCACCATACTAAATTCAATCAACATGGATTTAATTGAATTAAAAATTAGCTTCAAATATGATATCACTGATAGTGCAATACATTTATATTATCTTGTTTATGTACATTGGCGAGGCAGAATCTAATAAACAGATTTTACGCAATCATTTAGTGGGATTATTTAAGGCTTTTTCATCGAACATCACCAAGAAAATGTGTGTGTGTGTGTGTGTGTTTGTCTGCTTTCCGCAGTGTCATCAATCAATTTATTAGTGAAATGACAATAAAAACATGAGTGTGAAATGCAAATGGAATAATTTCTAGTGGTCTTTATGTAGCAAATTGAGTCAATTCTTGGCAATTGAATTCCCATTTCGACATCATCATACGTGCATTTAGATTCGCAACAAGTTGATTTAATAATATGTCAGCACTTTGGAACCTAATAAGCCCCGCGTGTGGATATAATGACACGCTTCGTCAATATTCATTACACTTTTACGTGTGTCTCATGACATTGTCAGTCACTTGTTGATCACATATAATCACCCACCGAAACCATGGCATTAGAGCTCCTCGGGATACTTATTATTTATGCAAATACTGGAAGGGATGCCAATTGGGGCTCTGCTTGAGCACGATCGCCGCATATGCAAGTATAATTCACTCATTTGAAGATCATTTACACTGGACTGATTACAATTAATAGAGACAGAGAATAGAGATAGAATGAAATTTAATGGGAGAATCTCTTGCATTTCGTCATCGCGAAGCTGACAAGACATTCAGCTGTGTAGTTGTTCAATTGAGTCGAAGACAGAAAAAAGCAAATAATGTGATGACCTCATTAATTAATTGTTTGCTATTGCACTGTCTATCGTATTAGTTGGTGTTTATTGGCACTGCACATCTTCTTAAGGTTTCTCTCTCTCTCACACTCACCAGTTGATGAAAATAAGAAGTCATTGAGATGAATTAAGGAGAGGAGTTTATTGTCGGTAATTGTAATGTGTATTTATCTATGGGGGGGAATTTTATAATTAAAATATATAAATCTTTGTACGCTTTAATGTCAAGTAATTTCAATGAGCCTTGAAATATATTGAAAGTGTTGATGGGCATACATAAGATCATATTTGGAATTTAACCATAGTTGCAATCCTTTCAGTGATTTAAAATGCCAATTCGTGCCTCAACTGTGGCTTGACGAGCACTTCAACAGCTCAAAGGAAGCGTTGAACTGAAAATTCACCCCGAATCTTGGCCACTCTAGCGAATTGCACTTTTTTTTAGGCCTAACTTTCATGGTGTCTTTGAAAGATTCCAAAATTGTTATTCTGTTTTCTATTTCAGCTGTTCAGCGAGGACGAGTTCCACCCTCTCAGCCCACTGGATATCCCGGCATGCACGGCCAGTACGCCCTGACGAATGGCGACCCGTGTGCGGCCGGCTTCAATGGTCACTCATACCTAAGTTCCTACATATCGTTGCTCCTGCGCGCCGAGCCTTACCCAACCTCCCGATATGGGCAGTGCATGCAACCAAATAACATAATGGGGATAGACAATATCTGTGAACTGGCGGCGCGGCTGCTCTTCTCGGCGGTGGAGTGGGCCAAGAACATCCCGTTCTTCCCGGAGCTGCAGGTGACGGATCAGGTGGCGCTGCTGCGACTCGTGTGGTCGGAGCTGTTCGTTCTCAATGCATCTCAGTGTTCAATGCCACTCCATGTGGCGCCGCTGCTGGCGGCCGCGGGCCTGCACGCGTCCCCAATGGCGGCGGACCGGGTGGTTGCCTTCATGGACCACATCAGGATATTCCAGGAGCAGGTGGAGAAGCTCAAGGCGCTCCATGTGGACTCGGCCGAGTACTCCTGCCTGAAGGCAATCGTCCTGTTCACCACTGGTAAGTTGCTAGACATTCTCTTCACAGACGTCACGGCATTGCTTGCAAAAGTCATCGCTTCGCTGACCACCGCGTCCGGTGGCGGGGCGCCGAGTGAGAATGAGCTCCTGGGCATGGTGCAGGCCCACATAACCTCTGTCGCTTCTGCACCTAACACCACTGGCGCGAGCTCCACCACGCCGACCGTGAGTGTGAGCTCGCCGATTGTCTCTACTGCCGTGTCGTCAGGTAGTATGGGCATGCTAGGCTCTCCCTCACTGTACTATCAGACGCCCAATAGATCGTACGCGGCGTTCGAGGGCTTCCTCAACAGCCACTTCTCCTCTGGCTACGGAAGCGCCTTCAGTAGTCCCCTGTCGTCCAACCTCAGCAGTATGCTGTCCTACTCCCACACCCCCGCGTAGGTCGTTAGTGGCTCGTATGTAGAACGATTCCGGTATACTTAGGCCAGTCTGAAACCGTTGATTTTGTAACTTATTTGTTAATTTAAACTTTGAGTACAATCGCTTAATTTAATAAAAGTTGTATAATTTATTGTAACATCATATTTGTTTTCTGTTTTATCTTGGTTCTTTTTGTAGTTTGTAGTTCTCTTGAGTTTGTCGTATCGTTTTTTATCTGATTTTGTTGGTATATTTTTGTTCAATTCACACGAATTTACTAACCAAGAACAAGAATAAACTCCTCCGAAGGTATTTAGGTACAGTTCGCGCGCAAAAACGGGTGTTTGGATGAGCAGCGAAGACGCGATGGCAAAAAGTAAGAAATGGCAATTAGTTTTAGAGAGGTTGTGATCAGTTTTAGCTCTAGTGACATGGATTTTCTGTAGTGTCTGAGGGTTAGAAGAATCTCTGAAGAGTCCCTTTGTCTGGCGACCACTTCTTGGTAATTCAATCGCGCTCCTTCACCGACTATTGTACATGAAACAACTCTGACTAGCGCTACATGTGAGTGATTCATGTTTTGAGTTATGTACTATGTACATTACATTCTGTATAGCACATCTCTCACATTGAACCGGTTCATAATAGCTGGCGAATAAGCACACCAAAAGGGAAGAAAGGTGGAGGAAAGAACCGCGCGCAGAGAATCGAAGGCAAGATTTAAACGTGTGAATCTGGCGAACAGAAGGGAACACTCGCGGCTACCTTCGGCTGACCAGATATTTGGGCACATGAGGAATGTCCAGAGGGACTCCCATGATGTCAGCATTTACGGTTTCTCGGGATCCACCGATCAATTCGTTATTGTGTCAGATATGAAGATTGCTGTTCTAAGTCCGTGTGTTTGCTTGTAACACTGCTGCGTCCACTGCTATCGGGAATTCCCATCTGATTTGCCCATGTTCCTGGTCGTCACCATGTGCCAAAGTCACGACTTGACATCCCGCGCCGAATGAGCCCAAATCGTAGCTTTCCTTCTTCTATGGAAAATCATGTTCCACTGCTAATGCTTCATTTGGAAATAAATTAGGAGACGCGCGCGCACTTCACTTAGTGAGTGTGCCTTAAATTATCGTCTCATCAAAGAAAGAATTTCTCTGGTGTTTCACATTTATTTCAAGAATTTTCTATCGCCTTTCATACACCAATGCCTCGACATTGTAGCACAGCAACTCGAGATATTTTCGTTGAGGAGCGCTAATGTAATTGATGATTTTCTTGCAACACGTCGTTTTTCAAACCTTGTATCAAACTTGCTGAGAGTTTACAAGTAGTATTTGGCCTGAGATCCAGCATTCCGCCGTGTCTGTTGGCTTGAATGTTGAATTTTTCTCCTCACTGGAGAAATGGAATGTCCAAACATTGCACTGAAGAAGTGAAATGAATAGTTACAGCATTTTGAGAGCCACCCAAACATAAATCGCTAGTCTTTTCTCTTTTGTGTGCCATCTTCAGAACAACACCTTTGATATTTGATACAGCCATTTGGGCGGCAAAAGACTCTGCGGACTGAAGGAGTCCCAGAGAGAGAGAGAGAGCCTCGTAAAATAGTGGCACATCTAGAGATCTTTGGCGAGTGTGAGGCGGGGTAGAAAAAGTTAATTAAATTTAATTACTTATTAGGCAAGCGCCTAAATGTGTGTCACCAAATATTTGGCTGCCGTTTAATTATGAAAATTGCCTTTTATATGAGAAATGTGGTGTCATCTTTGTATATCTTGTGACAGGGTGTTTTGCATGGCGTCATAATTTGTGGTATTTTCACTCGAGATTTTCGGCAGGATATAATGGGGTGAATGTTAATCTTTTTGACATGTAATCCACCACAATGAGACCTTACACCTTATTTTACGGTCGCACACATATACAACACTTTCCATTATTGCAGAAGGTGAAGTCATGGGCAAAGTTTTCCCTCCCCAAATTCTGGCCAAAGTGTGTGTGTATCTTGCGGTGGTAATTCTGGGCGGGGGCGTTATGATTTAAATTGAAACCTTATCTGTTGTTCTTGCACATGTGAAAGGTCGAAGGGGAGCGAGCGACTGTGTGTCTCGGAGCCGCCAGAATGATTACATCTCCATCCCTGCATCATGTGCGGACTTACTTTGCATTAATCCAGCAATAATCTTTAAATTGTTGTGTCACCACTAAAAAGGATTTACTCTTCCGTCCCGAATGTTCACTGCATTGGCGTGACATTTAGCAGCGCATTAAAATGGGGATAAAGGTTAAGTTGGGGTTCGGCGGGTTAGGTGCGATAAGACAAACATCCGACAGGAGTATTTATGCACAATTGCCACTACATATGAGCATCATCAACCCTTCGCCCGGCAGCGCAATTATTTAATTCATATATTGAAATTTATGCACGTATTTTCGTTGAGCTTCACCCTCGTCTCGGCCAAGTTCACGCGAGGGGTTATCGAAAGATTTCACCGAAGAGTATATCCGCTATCCTCTCTTTGATATTTGCTTTGCCACAACCCAAAACGCAATTACTTATCTGCGCGCTTCAGTGTGATTTCAGGCTTTGGCTGTCTGAAACAATATAAAATATTTAAAGTATGGGCGCGATATCGTGGCCAAAATCAGGGGGTGAACAACTACATATTTACTCCCAGTCGCTGTGCCGAAAGACTTATGCTAATAACCCAGTGATTTGTATGAATAATTAAAATGGAAAATGGCATGTTACTTCTTTCATTCGATTTGGAGGCAAACTGAAGTGCCGCAGATACACAAATAACATCACACCCCCGTCGAATGAATGGAAAAGTTGAGATAGACTTTCGGAATTTATTAATTTGTCGGAATGAATTGATGCCTAAATGAGAAGTAATATAGTCGGTGCGCCACCAATTTGCAATGCTCCCCTGCTGAGCTTCGCTGCCACACTTTTATCACCCACGTCGAGTGAATGCGTGAAACTTTGGCGGATATTTGTTGCGTTCTAGAGGGAGAGTAGCTCTGTGTTAAATAATAAGTCAGTAATTCATTTTGTTATCAACCCTTTTCCTTTTCACTCGCCCCGAGAATTGACGCTCACCCTCGCGCGCGAATGGCTTTTTTGGCCATTCCGCATTCGAACTTGCGTGGCGCAAAATCTGCTGGCGCACATTTTGCGTATTATTTTCCATTTGTTTATTTTCACCCCCGCGCGCGATGAAAGTGTCGAGTTTTATCTCTTTGCCACCCTCTTCGCGATGTCCCAAAATGCGAGGCTCCGTGTTGATGCAATATGACGAGGTGATTCGCGGCACAGACTAATTTATTTGATTTTATTAACATAATCACATAATTATAAAATGCACGGGCATGTTGAGTGAGCTCGTGCAAAAGAGTTGTTACAATCTCCAGCGCGCCGAGAGATCCACGATGGTGTTTATGCATCTACATAACTGGTACTTCGATTAAGCTATGATTATAATCATTATTATTATTAAACCGAACCCATCTCCCTGTAATCATTTCATCACTTTTGTTGTTATATATTTTCCCATCATCGCCAATTCGTCCGACCAAACATTCGCGCGCTCTCTCGGCCGCCCCTCGACGCCCCAGTGTGCATTTATATGTTGGTCTGGACGAAATAAATGAAAGCCAGTGATTGTTATTGAGAATCCCGTGTCCATTGTTCCAGCCAAAACACCCAGGCTACACCCACACTCGTGTTCTGCACGCAGTTCGATTTTCATTGTTTCATTCCTATTGTGGCCACTTTTTATTTCATCCACCATCGACCGATTTCCAGTCCAACCCCTTGGCTTTTTATCTGCCACAGCACGAGAGGGTTTCGCAGTCATTTGACCAATCCATGAATCACATTTTTGCAATTACATCGTGTCCGAAATCTCACAATTCTGCCGAGGAGTGCAAGAAAGTTGCACAGTTTCATGTATGAAATTATGTTCATTATAAATTTCGAGGGAAAAAATTCCAAGAATAAACACACTTCAAATTGGCGTGATTGACCGTTTTGGGGAATTTTCTCACACGCTGTTTACACTTTGGGCACTTTTTTCAGAGGATTGAGAGTTACTGGAGATCATGAAATGAAGGCAGTGGCTTAAGAAGAATTAAAGAGCAGAAATCCTTTTCTCAAACTCACGTCTGAGAAATAAAGCAGTAGTAAGTCTTATGTTTTCATACATATTGGAAATATTGGGAAAAAATCAACAATCCCGAAAGTGCTGAATTGTTATTGAGATTAAAAAAAAACACTGAGAACATCAATGTCTGGAATCTAATACACTTCTTGCACCGCTTTGCTCAAAGTCAATATCCACTCAGAACAGTGTTCTTTCCGCCAGTTTTTTCCAAAGCCTGTCCAACACTCATCGCGATATGACTTTCATCACCACTTTACAATATAAACGTGATGAGTTTTTAATTAAGCTCTCAAAAAGCCCTCCATTAAAATGGCCCGCGAGCTTTGATTGCTGATCAAACATTCCAGCCTCCTAATCAGATATGTCAGCGTGTTTTGTCGCAATTACGCTATCTCCACAATTCCACAAATGCGTGAAGGCATCTGATGACCGTAATGAGATGCTCCTA